AGCTTTTAGATCAAATAAAATCAAGATTTGATTTCTCCAGGAAGGATTTAGAACTTTTAAAATTAATAACACCTGAGGAGGTGATGTCAGCAAATGACAATAATATTTTGGATTTAGTTTTGGAATATGCAGGCTTATTTGAATGTGACTGTGATAAAATCATTACGCAATGGACTTTATTTAAATTAAGTAATCACAATTTAAATAGTAATTTGGATATAGACTTATTTTGGGAGAAAGTCGCTTCCATGAAAGATGGACTGGGCCACTTAAAATTTTCAGGTCTAAGTGGCTTTGTATTTAATTTATTGTCATTGCCTCACAATTTTGCAGTGGCAGAGTGGAAATTCTCTTCTCTTAAATTAATTAAAACCAGCATTAGAAATAAGTTGGAAGTAAGTACTTTACATGCGATAATGACCTGTAAATAACTAACGAATAGAAATATTGTTTGGTCAGCAAAAAAAGATTTTCATTATTTTTACAACTTTGTCAATTAAACACAAGAATTGTTTTTTTTTTATTATTTTTATAATAACAATGATATTTAATTATATAATATTTATCACCAAATGTGTTCCTTTAAGTTTAATACAATAATTTTTAAATACATAAAAAACAATGTTAGCACAAAGTGGTTATTTTTTTGAGTTAAATAAACTTATATGAATAAAGAAATTCTATAAAATAACTGTCTTTTACAATTTTCAGGTGTAAAAAAATGTATGGCTACATTAAGTTTCGGTTTGCTACACTTTTGGATACAGAAAATATTTTGTCAGGGGCAACACAGGTCTTGCTAGATATGTTACAAACGGCGCAATGGGAACCAAATTTTAAAAGACTGCATTGCTACCTTAAAGTTCTATTTATTGATGATTACGAAGCCTACAAATTCACTTGTGAAATAAGCGATTATAAATTGTATATACAGCAAGTGAAAGATCTTTTACTTAGCTACAATAATATAAAATGTTATTAATGAATGATTGATGATGAGGAATGCACTACGACCTTTGGTCTATTGTGCCCTCTCCTTACTTACATTGCCTCGCTTAGCCCCAGCCCATTAATGGAGTCCAGTAGACTGCTTGGCGCTAGCGAGGCAGTGCGATTCTTATCCGGAAATAGAACTCCAAGGGCCTTGGCTCTGCGACTACGGACTGCTGTGCAGTCGATCAACAGATGCTCCGGAGTTTCAGGCTCCCTGTCACAGAACCGGCAGTTGGCGCAAGCAGAGGGGCCCATTCTGTGCAGATGCCTATTCAGCTTTCAGTGGCCAGTATACCATGCGACTAACAGCCTGAGTTTGCTCCTGGGGAGGTTTATTACTATTTTTAACATTTTCAGGTTGTAACCTCCCATTAGCAGCTTGGCGTGTCTCACACCATGAGTTTGTCGCCAGTTCTCTTCCCTACCTGCTGTGAAGGGTTCGGGTCCTACCATCCTGGTGGAGRCTGCGGAGCGGGCGAGCTCGTCCGCCAGTTCATTGCCGGCTATACCTTTGTGACCAGGCACCCATATCAGGTGTACTTGGCTTCTCTCCGCAGGGCTATTCAGCCTCTCTCTGCACTCCTGCACTAGAAGCGACTTGATCTCGTAAGAGGAGATCGCCTTCAGCGTCGCTTGACTATCGCTTAGAATAGSTATACGCTCATTGCGATAGTTGCGATGGAGGTTAATTTCTATGCACCGGCTTATAGTATACACCTCTGTCTGGAAAATGCTCGGGAACTCCCCCATGGGTACTGGGAGCTTAGTGCGCGGGCTCACAATCCCTGCGCCGATTCCCTCCGACATTTTAGAGCCATCTGTGTACCACTTAATAGTACTGTTCCTCAACATCCGCTCGAGGTTGGAATCGTTCCAATCCTCTTTGTTGCCGAGGGTAACCTTAAACCTCTTCCTTAGATTTACCTTTTTAGTAGTACTATCCCTCGGGAGGAGGACCAGTGGTARCKTGYCACTTATCTTCTCCATCCTCCGGGATGAAACTATTTTTCCTTTTCCCCACCCCTCTGCCGTTATTTGCAGAAGAGTGTGTTTGGCTACCAGACCGATGACCAGACGAAGCGGAGTAAGTTCAAGAAGAACCTCCAGTGCCGCCGGACAGGTTCGCATTGCACCCGTCATGCAGACACAGGCCAGCCTCTGCAGCTTCAGTAGTTGTCTCCTAACCGATCTATGCGACGCTACTGAGGCCCAGACTACCGCCCCATATGTGATTATCGGTCTTACTATCATGGTGTACAACCATCTAACTATTTTTGGCGTTAAACCCCAGGACCTTCCTGCCAGACGATTGCACATCATTAAGGCCTTTGTCGCCTTGACCAACGTCAGGTTTACGTGCTGCTTCCACCTCAGCGTGGAGTCTAACGTTAAACCGAGGTACTTAACACTGCTGGTCATCCCTATTTCACTACCTCCCAGTAGGAGATTCCTGAGGCCAGGTAGGGTCTTGCGTCTTGTAAATGGGATTACAGACGTCTTGGAGGGGTTGATATTTAGTTCAACCTCTCTGCACCACCCCTTCGCTAGGTTGAGACCTCTTTGGAYCAAGTMMCAAAGAGTGTCTTCAAATCTCCCTCTTGCCATAATGACAATGTCGTCCGCGTACCCTTGRCATTGGATTCCATTGTCTGTTAGCAGTTCGTCCACAACAAGACTCCATAGCAGGGGTGATAAGACACCCCCTGTGGACAGCTTCTTGTTGTGCCGAGACGAATACTGCTATCACCTACTGTGGTCTCAGCAACCCTTGAGCGCAGTAYGGCWTCTATCCATCTACGCACCGGTGCCGCCACATTCCTTTTCTCCAGTGCCCTTGCTACAGTCTTGTGGGACGTGTTATCAAAGGCTCCTTCGATGTCTAGGAACGCGCAGAGCATCACCTCCCCATGCTCCAGTGAACTCTCTATTTCAGAGGTCAGCTGGTACAGAGCAGTGCCCGTAGACCTGCCCGCTCTGTAGGTATGTTGAGCATGTTAGCGCCTTCATCCTTATTTCTTGATCCACGATCTTCTCCATGGATTTCAGTAGGAAGGACGTTAGACTTATCGGTCTGAATGATTTCGCCAACGAGTAGTCTTTCCTTCCTACCTTAGGTATGAACATCACCTTCGCTGTCCTCCATACCTCAGGGATATACGCCAATGTGAGGCTCTCTCTCAGCATTCGAACTAGGTGGGGCAGCAAAAGCTGCTCCCCTTGCTGCAACAGCGCCGGAAAGAGGTCATCCACTCCCGGAGACTTGAAGCTCTTAAACGAGGCCAGCGCCCACCGCATCGAGTCCGCCGTGATCAACTGCTTGGCAATACTCCAATCATCGCGGGATGGCCTGTGTTCGATCACCGGTGGACAGCGGTCCTCCCGAACTGTCTCCGGGAAGTGCGCCCTCAAAAGCTCCATGGCCCTGTCCTCCGCACTGGTCGTGAATGTCCCGTCGTCCCGCTTAATTGCTATTTCTGCTCCCTTTGTGCCCCTAGCCAAAGCTTTGAGCAGCCGAGCCGCTTCTGGCGTAGTGGCGACATTCTCGCAGAATCTCCTGAAGCTGGCCTGCTTTGCAGACCTAATCTCCTTATTATATAAGGTGAGATAGCTTCGGTATTCTGCCCAGACCCACGTACGTTTCGCTCTGTTGAACTGGCTGCGTACTTTCTTGCGGAGGTCCGCTAGCTCCTTTGTCCACCACGGACAGACTCGTCTGTCAGTATGCGCTTTGAGGGGACAGCTGCYATGATAAGCATTGATTACAGACTCATTTAGCTTAGAGAGCCGATTCTTCAGCCCAAGGCCTGAAACGCTATCATCTGTCTGCTCCCTTCTGCTTAAAGTATTTACTTAATATATCGCTGAAGGCGTTAGAATTTGCCCTCCGAGTTGCGTCTAGGGGTGAGTTGTTTAACCTCTACTTTTAGCTTGAACCTTATGATCCTGTGGTCTGACAATGAGGGCTCCGTCGARACTCTCCATTGCGAGACCAGTCCGCCTGCAGGTTCGTTGCTAAAGGTGATGTCCAACACCTCCCTTCTACTTATAGTTATGAACGGTTCACACCCTATATTCTCTATTTCTAAGTTACTACCTACAATGAATTCTAAAAGGGACTCACCTCTTGTGTTGCAATCGGTGCGTCCCCATTCCAAGTGGTGAGCGTTAGCGTCACAGCCTATGATGAGGGGGAGCCTGTGCCGTCTGCAGTGCTCTACCAGCCTTTCCGCCATCTCCGGGGGCGCTGTAGGTGCCTCCCCTGRGAAGTATGCTGAGGCCAGGATGAAGTCCTTGCCCTCAGAGTCCCTGGACTGCACCGCCACCAAGTCCTGAGTCAGAAACTCTGAAATGCAAAAGAAATCAACGTTGTGCCTGATCACTATACAAGTTCTAGGTCTTTCGCTAGAGAGGTCCCAGATTACCTTGTTTGCCTCCGTTTTGAGGCCTTTAACCTYTCCTCTGTGGACCCAAGGCTCTTGGATCAGCAGTATGTCCAGTTTCTTCACAGTGAACCTGCTGGTTATAACGGCTGAGGCTGCAGCCGCGTGATGCAGGTTCACTTGGGCAATTTCCGTAGTGACGGCCATTACAAGATGGGTTCAAGGAAGGGCAGATCCTCTTCCCCGCCGTCCACCGTACTGCTGTCCATTGGGTCACCTAACCCTTCGAGGAGCTCTGCGTGGAGGGTACCTCATCTGCGCGTCCTGCTTCCGCATGGCTGCTCCGACACCTCGTCCACCTGCATACCTAGTACCTCCGGGCCTGCTCCAGGCACTGTCGGTTTGTCCGAATCTTTGTTCTGGAGAGTTGCTGGCGTTGCTGCTCCCTTGCTACCGGTGGCTGCAGGTCTGTTGGGCCGTATGACCACCGTGCTGAACCTGTCGTACAGGCGGAAGCTCGCTGCCCGGACGTACCTGTACGACTCATCGTCGATGAACAGGTTGAGTCTCCATCCTTTCATACCTCCGATCTCCTCCATTTTGCTGCTCGTGACGCGCCAGGACGAGATGCTGAGTCCCCGGTTCTGGTTTTTCACCAGCCCCAAGGCGAACTCATAGGGCTTGTCCCCGCACCGAGGGAGGAACATTSTCATGCTGTGCATGATTGGCAAATCTTCCGCCCTCTTCGCGCAAAGGACAGGGCACTTCCAGCGTCCGAGCTGTGGAGCGTACTCCTTCAGCCAGTTAGCGGACGCCTCATCCACGCAGTCTACCAGCAGCATTCCTCTTCTAAACTCCACTCCCAGGAAGGACGCCGCATAGTCCTCCCCTCTGAACACCTCCTCCATGAGGAGATCCTGGAGCCCCGTGAGCTCCTTCGGTGTAAGCGACTCCACCGGGTAGCTGAGAGGCAGTACAGCCATGCGAATGCCTTTTACAGCGTTCGGATACCTACGCCGCCCCTCCTACATCCGATGGAAAGCCGGTCGTTCAGATCGTTGCTCCCCGGGTGCCTTTGGGTTTGTGCCCCTCAACCTTTTAGAGCTGGGGGGCTCCTGCGGCGTGATCTAGCCGCTCTTACGCTTTGCGTCTTGGGCGTATGTGTCTGCGGGCAGTGCCCTGCTATCGCCACGCCTTGGCACCTGGGTGGTGCTGATCGGGCCGCGGTTGCTGCCTCCACTACCTTGTGCGCGAGCCGACACGTTTTTGAGCTCCGTTGCCGGGGATGCGTTGCACTTATTCCTGGCCAGAGCCTCTGCCACCTCCGGGGTCATCCCATCACGGAGGTTCCGCAGGTACCACTTCATAGTAGGCGTTGCCCACCTCTTCCGCGCCATTGCGCTTGGACAGGGAAATAACGTCGCATATGATGTTGCCTTCAAAGGAGATCGTTTGATTAATGGGACCAAAATCATCCGCCCAATTAAAGATCTAAGTGAAACAGAGACTTTACTCTATATACGTGCACGAAATATTATTTTTATTTTTATTTATAAAAGCTTATACAATGTTAATAACATATGTACAACCTAAAACATGCAGCGCTAGCTTCAGAGGCTATCAGCTCTCCATTGATTAAATGTGTTGGCTTAAATTCTCCTCAGTAGATCACAATTTTTAAGAAAACGATAGATGGTTTTTATATTTTCTTCCATAGCGTTGGAAAGGAAAGAAATCGGATCTGTGTTGAAGTGGCAATCTCTCTTATCTTTCAGTGTTGGACAAAATTGTAATATATGAAGCACAGTTGTTGTTGAGTTACAAAACGGACAGCAATTGGTACTGTTTCTTCCGAGGAGGTGAGTATGCGTCGGTACAGTATGTCCAATCCGTAGGCGAATGTATGGTGTTATATAATTAGTTGCAACTGTTGATGGGTATAGCGGTTTGATTCTGGCTGTGTTAACTGCTGAATAATGGTGCTTATATGAGATCCAATCAAGTGCCAGTTTAGAGAGCCTATTTTGGTGTATGAGTCGGAATATATCAGATTTCATAAAGAAACTGAATGTAATTGTGGGCGTGTTGGATGCATTCTTTGCTAATACATCAGTGTAATTATTTCCGGATAACCCAGTGTGGCTTGGAACCCACATTATCTTAATTTTATTTGCATATATAATAACATATTCTCTAATTGAAATGATGATGTTAGTGTGGTTGTTGCAATTTTGAATGGCTTGGAAACAAGCATATTACATATTTTTCCGGGCTTTTTGTGGCATGTAGAACAGCGTGGAAAATCGCAGTGGCTTCAGCAATGAATATCGAACAAAAGGGAAAATCAGTCCATATGATATGGCTTTCCTTTTTCGCTAACGACCGCAAAAGAGGTTTGGATTTTTTTTGAACCGTCTGTGAATACAAATCTCTAACTGCCATGTTTCAGAGTGTTAATAATTTCACAAAATTATGATACATAAATCGCATTAAGTGTGGTGGCTTTAGGCAAACGAATTACGTTTATTGATAAACTAGAATAAACGTGTTTTTTTGGAATCAACCATTGTAGATGACGACGTTTAGGAAGTTTAGCAGGTTTTAATGGCAAGCTGTTTGTTTTGGCGAAAATGGTGCATTTATATATAGCTGACTCAATTTTTGGAGGTCGGATAAGTGATGATGATGAAGAAAAGGCATCTTGAAGCACATGGTTAGAACCAAGGATGATCTTCGGGTATAATTTGTATGTGGTCTCTTCCATTTGTCTAAGACCGGACTCGGGGAAACTTTAGTTTACCATCCCACGATTTTGGGATTAAAGGTGGTATGGGTGGATAGGGCTGATGCTCTAGATTAAGAAAATATATAATTCTTGCCGCCGCAAACTTATAGTTTTCGAGATATTTACACTTAAAGTTGAAAATTTTTCAAATTTTATCTTGCAATTTCCCGATTTCTAGTAATTATTTATTTCATATTATGCACTTTTTATGCACTTACACTTCATTACATTGTTTTTAGATATTTTTTTTGCAGTAATTATTTAGTTATTTGCTTAAAATAAGCATTTTATATTTTACACAATTTTCATTTCATGCACAATAACAAAAGTATTCCTTGTTGACATATAATAAGTGTTGCCATAATTACACATTTATCAAACGAATAAAAATTAATATAAAAACTCAAACGCAAGACACAAATATCATGTGATATTTCACATGAGTTTTCCATTGTAATAAAAAAAGTTTTAAGGCCTATTTATATATTTAATTGCATCTAATAATTTTACAAAAGGATCAAGATGATTATTTGCAATATTTTTTCTCCAAATATTCAAAACTTAAATTAGAAAAATCTTCAAATAATTGTCCTTAATAAAAAAAAGTTTAATTACGCGCCACTGGGACTCGATCCGTTGAGTGTGCGTCCCGTCCTCGGCGACGAACGGATTATCGGGGTCGCTGTGATTAACCCGTCGGTGCTCATACCCGTGACTGGCCAGACAGTCGTATGCCTTCCAGCAATCAGTACATACTGCCTTTTGCTACGTGCTTTTCTATCAAAGGTATGAGCACCTCAGCAGACCTTACATTGCCGGGACATACCTCCAGCCTAAGGTCGTCACTCCCATCCTCAACCATCCCAAGAACCCAGTGGCCCTCCGCCCTCCTCCTCTCCGCCCTAAAATAAGAAAAAATATATTAATTACATAAAAAAAATTATATTTTTATTATTACCTTTGCTGTATTTTCTCTTCCCGAACGTGCTTTCATCTATTTGAACAGTTTAAGCAGGGCCACCAATTTTACCTACCGCTACCTGATGGTCAACCTGGTATAATACTATGGCTTCGCGGCAGTAATTATACCAGTCACATACAGTAGCGCTAGATAAAACTGGTTCCCTGATAAAACTGTTTTTCATCACTTCCGCATGCGAGCAATGAGATACATATGCATACATTAGATAAAATACCTGCGGAAGTGGGATTTTCACGTTGTCAAACCAGGTATCGCTCGACCTTGCTAACGCAGTTCGGTTAAGACAACCCCCTTTCCGGCATCGGAACACCCCAACAGTTCTACTTTTATTTAATGCCAGCGTCATTGGCACTTTATGCGTACGCAATTTTTACCTTTTAGAATCAAACCTTTTTCTTCGGCAAAGGAAATACATTTCTCTTTAGAGTCAAATGTTTGGATTATTTTTTCAATATTCCACATTGACTTCAGTTCCGACGCTTTAAGCACATTGGTTCGCTTTATAACACCTYSGCTGWTTGACGCTCCGACACAATCTATTTAAATACCTTAAGTTATATTTTTATCAATTTAAAACTTAGATTACTTACCTGATAAATTTGCACTAATTTTTTAAAATACAACTTTTAATAATTATATATTTATATATTATAAATTGTATGCTCTTTAAATTTGTATTCTGAATTTATGCATGTATCCAATCGCGGAATTCATATGAAATAAATATGAAACTTAATACAAAACGGGAAAAAAGAAACGGTACATTGTTTAGTTGTAACAATACCCGTTATAGAAAATGTAGTTTAAAAAGGGGAAACACGCAATTGATAAATGTGAAGATAATGACAAAACGGACAACAAAAACAACGGTACCTTTTTTAGTTGTAACAATATCCTTTATAGAAAATGTACTTTAAATAGGGTGATATACCCACCAGGGTGTGCCAGGTTTTTTTTCGAGTAAAACTCCTTTTGCACTGGCCGCCTTCGGCCGCGCTTCAAAAAAATAACCCTGGGCAATCCAACACCGTGGTGGGCCAACACCAGGGTGTGTCAAGTTTTTTTTTCGAGTAAAACTCCTTTTGCGTTGGCGGCCTTCGGCCGCGCTTCAAAAAAATAACCCTGGCACACCAGGTGCATCAGGTGTATTAAGAATTATGCTTGCAACAACGATGTGTAATCATATGACTAATATAGGGATTATCCGTTCCAATTAGTGCTATTAGCTTCAGCTTCTTCATTGAATGCTACTACTTCAGAGAATGGAAACGATTCTCTTTTTTTTCTTGACATTGCGAAATAGGGTGTTATTCTCTAAAGTACTTAAGCCGATATCACAAGGAGGTATTGCTTGATAAGAGATTCGTGGTGGTCGATAGAGTATTAGGAGGTCTTAGGTGTATTTCCCAGAGTCTATGGATCACACACTATATTTTGCTGCCCTTTTGGCGATCTAACACAGTTTCTATCACTCACTTCTTACCTAGTGCTGATTTGCAAATACTTGAAACAGAGAATATTTTTGAAAAATAAAAAAAAAGTATTGACAACATCGATGCCTAGTTTAGGAAGTCATCATAATACGATCCTCAATAATTCATGAAGAGGAAATAAATGCTTTGTTTCATAAAGATTACAACGAAATTAATCTTTCTAGATGATAATGTCTGAAAGAGCTTGGTCCCACCTTTTCGTTTCTGTGGTACGCAATTTGACTTCAAACAGTAATTGAGTTTTATAAAAGCCCTTTTGAAAAAAAAAAAAAACTTTTCAACGTTTAAAGAAGTAGTCACGCGAACAGAACCATTACTTTGGTAAAAAAATTTGCTTGATTTGCATTTTTTTCCGGAGTAAGTCTGAGTACCACGTTAGATCTTCTCTCTCTCCCTAGGGATGGATGTATCCTTCAGGTGGGTGGTTTTTGCCAACCCAGAGGACACAGGTTCTAAGACCGGAAGCCGTGAGTTGCTTGAGCCATATGTATAAGAATCGTTTCTGGCAACTCCCAAGTGATGATCTTCCCAGAGAACCTTTTTCAATTGCGTGAACTTCTACACATTTCTCCGTCGTCCGCACAATCTGCTCCTGCTACCGTCGGAAGAGTCTCCTCAACATCGCATATAAGGTGAGTACTGTGTGAAAGATGAAATCTCACCGTCAACAAATTGATTGGACCGGATCAGTGTAGCTATAGGTACAATCTTCTATAAGAGTGTATAACTATTGTCGTACGTCGAAGACATCGATATCATTCGTCGCAACAACCGCGTCATTAAGTCTCCTTTCTAAAGACTGGATAAGGAAGCGAAGCAAATGGGTCTGATAATGAACGAGGGCAAGGCGAAATATCTCCTCTCATCAAACAAACAGTCGTCGCACTCGCGACTTGGCTCTCATATCACTTTTGACTATCATAACTTCGAAGTCGTAGATAATTTTGTATATTTTAGAAACCATATCAGGTTTTTTTTTTCGAGTAAAACTTGCTTTTTACTCATGTTATAGCAAAAAAAGAGATAAGGATTTATGTATTTTGGGGATAAACCTATTTTTTATTCGTTTGATAAATGTGTAGATATGGCAATACTTATTATTTGACAACACGGAACACTTATTGTTATTGTGCGTGTAATAATATTTATGTCATTCACCGTCGAACTGTCATCGTAACCGGTTGCTTTTCGCTCTTTGCTTATTGAGTTTGTTAAAACGGTATAACGGTTTGTTCT